TGTTTTTCACTATTCGCTCCATCTCTCTCTCTCTCTACTTCAATTTGTCGGTCATTATAGTCGCTACGCTACTTTTATCGATTTGTTTGTATTTTGTCGTTTACTACTTTTCCGAATTGCGACATCAACAGCAATTAGCCAAATGCTAAATACGTGCGCATTTCAAATACACTTCCGTTTTGAGTTTTGTAAAATGTGAAAAAGTTTTGATGTCTAAATTGCTGCTACATTTACCTTGAGTGAAAACCAATCGCATTTTAAAACTCAAATCAAATATAAAATCAAATTGTACTTTAAAAGGACTGTTATGCGACGACTTTTTTTATGTTCATTTATCTACTATCTTCCTTTTGTGTGTTCATTCTTCAGTATTATGAAACTTGTAACACAATTTGTTTGCAATATCGGCTCAGTTTTTTTTCTTCTCCCCACAACACATTTTATTGTCGAACCAATCTTTTCAGGTAGTTCGATGTTTAGCAATTATTCGATGGCATTACATTCGTGTTAAGTTATCCGTGTTAGTTTTGAATACAGACATTGACAAGACAAAAAAATTTTTGTCGAGCAACAAGCATGATCAAGAAAGCATACTCGAATATGCACTGCTCCGACGATTGAATTTGGAAATGTTTGAAATTCAATGTGGGTGGCTTGGAATTTGTTGTTTGTCGTCGACTGTTCATTATGCGTTGTCGCATGTAAATTGGCAAAATACTTATTGAACCAGCTAAACCGATGAGTATTGCCACAACGATTCGATTAGTTTTTCTAGTGATAGCAACAGTGAGCAAAATCGTATAAAGTTCATGCACATAGAAAATGAACGAAATTAAAACTGAAAATGGAAATTTTTCCGAGACATTGAACATACACAAAGCACCACACACACAAAAAAATAGGAACAGAAATAGAGATGAACAGAAGGTAAGACCGAAAATACAGAGAGATTGAAATGGGATAGAAAAAATTGAAGTAAAGAGAATGTGAAAATGGATTTGCCATTTTTATTTCACACAATACAAGTTTAAATGCATACTGGTTTCTTATTGTTAGTATTTCAATTCTTAAATGCATTGAAATCACATTGAAGCATGCTTATTCAACGATCAAATGTCCTCGTTGTTCTCTCCCTGTCTATTCCTCCATCTAATCCTTTCTCTATATCTTCCTTTCTCACAACACAAACACCTACATATTCACCCATATCTAAAATGGAATAAAGTGAAAAGTGCTTTCATCTGTTTTTCGCGTTGATCTTTATTTTCATTCTACATATTGGTCAAAGAAAAAAAAATGAAGAAATTTTTCCCTTAATATCGGATGGCATTTGGAACGAATTTCACGTCGCTGTCGATTCAATTTGACTGTAGTTGTTTACTGTATATAGATAGTGTTGATAATGACAATGCTACGGTCAATTCCCATTGACTTCTTCCATCAACGTTTTTATTCTGTCTGTATTTGGTACACATTTGAAACGGAAAAACAATTTCAGCCTGTTATTAGACCGAATGAAAAACTCAACATAAAATAAAAAGAAAATTATTAAAAACCAACATTTACAATTGCGAACGGGTAACGAAGCAAAAGACGAAACAATAACAATTTTTGGACCAAAAATAATGATGAAAAGTATAGTATCCGGAGAGAGATAAAACCAATATAAAAACCGAATATTATGAATCGTGTTGGTCAGAGAAATCGCATAATTTTAAATATTTTTTTTTCTTTTCAAAAGAAATCTTTAATATCACAAATTTCTTATCATTGCCAACGATTTTTTTTAGCAACATTTTTGCTCATTTTTAGTGTAGACAAATCTAAATCCAATCGATGATATGCAAGCGATCCAACGACATTGAATGCAAACGTTTTCCTAACCATTGCTTTGATTTCTTTTTTGTCTCACTCTATCGCCGTTGCTTGCTTCTCGATTTTTTTCTTTTTTCTTTCTCACAAATTCCATACCAGAAAATATAATAAAACGAGCAAAGAAAACCAAGTGCCAAAACAATAATGATGGTGGTACACAATGGTACAATGCAATGCCCGAATCGTGGCTTGCATTTCGAACTGAAAGAAGAATAAAAAAAAAACAAGAGAAAATACGAGCAGAAAAACATATCTTGAACCAAATAGAAAAATCTTATGAGCTGGCAGACTTCCAAAACCGATTTGCTTTTAATCTTTTTTTTGTTGCTTTGGCTGCTGTGTGCGTTTGTCTATGTTTGTGTATGTACGTTGTTATTTCTTGTGAATCGGTCGCCTCACATTGTTGAAATGTTTCATTTGTTGGTTTTGTAATGATATTTGGTGCGAGTACATCATGAGCAACCATGACAACAAACGGGGAGACAGAAGCATCAAGAAAATCAACCATTCGGCTCATGGCCTCTTATAAATTTCGATTGGTTTTATCGATGGTGTTTGCTCTTTTCGACCAATTACCGACCAGCACACCATTGATAACGATCAAATCTAACCGTTCAACGTATAAAAGTCATCGAATCGAAATATTTTTCTAATTCCATTGCTGTGGATAAATTGTGGTGCATTTTGTGCAAACAAACCTGACACCCAATTTTTGTACAATCGAAACAAATGTTACAACTCGATGTTCACTGCTTCTCATTTTCATTTTTGTTCTTTTTTCTGTCAACTCTCCGTGTACAGCTGGTCTAATGCACTTCCATTTTAATTTTTTTTCCTCCTTCCATTCGCATTTCTCAACCAATTTGTTCGAATAACACATACTATGAATGCATTGGCCGGTACTACTAAATCGATCGATGTGCCTATGCAACCGAACACCCAACATCAAATGCTAAAACTAACATACAATAGTGATTGTCTATGAAAAAAACAAAAAACAAAAGTGGAACTTCGAAATGAAAGATCGAACCAAAGGACAAATATACAAAAATATTGCAATTTTGATCTAGCTCACTGTTTCATTTATGTTAAACTTCATGTTTTCGCTCTCTCTTTCTCTTTCTTTCTTTTTCTCATTAAAAAAAATGTTTTTGCACTGAATTTCAAGTGTGTAATTTTTCTGCTCGGTCATTTTTGTTTCGTTTAAAGAAGTGTGTCTGTGTGCTTTCATCTACGGTGTGGCTTTTGTGCGCATACATACATACATATAGAGAGATGAACGGACGATTCATTTGTGGGATGAGAATGAAAGCGAGATTGTGAAAGAGAGCTTGAGTGTATGCTTTGCCATGTTCTGTGCATGGCATTTAATGGACTTTCAAAATACATTATATCTCGGTCTTTCTAGCATAACAGGGATATATTCTCTTTTTTTTGCTCCATCCCTAACGAGAAATAACAACAACATTGCGAAAAAGAGTAGAGCACAAAAAAATCTCGAACAGAAAGTTTTTGTTTTTTTTTTTTTCGTTCATCTTCTTCAATTTTTATTACATTACACCATCTACACAAACCATAATATTTGCTAGTATTTAAGTCGACTGACCCGTCTATTCGAGAAAACAACAACAATAACAATAGTAAAAAAAAGCGCACTCACTTGCACTCGCACTGGCTGGTACACAAACACACACGCAGAGCGGTAAAAATTGAAGCGAACACTCAAAGATGAAAATGGGATGTAAGAGTCTTGGTTCCTTTCACTCTCTCTCTCTCTCTCTCTCTCTCTCTCTCTCTCTCTCTCTCTCTCTCTCTCTCTCTCTCTCCCTCTCTCTCTCTCGTTTATTTCATTTGAAAAATACAGTGCAAATAAAGCACGAATCCATAAAAGGAAGATAATAACAATAAAACGAGAAAAATTAAAGGAAATTGATCTAAATCCGTGGGTCTCTTTTTGGTAGATGGTCGCATGGTTTTACCGAATCGTTTTCCGTATTTTTCTTGGTTTTTCATAATCTTGTTCGCATCTCGTCTATACGTCAACGTGCTCATTTACACATATAAGTTTTAGACAGCAGCAGCAGCAGCATCACTCGACACTTCTTATCGTAAGTTAACTACAAAAAGCATTGAGCTTAAAGAAAAATTGCTCGATTTAATTTGACGCGAATATTGTTCACAAAAGCCATACTTTTTTTTCACAGTTGAATTGGAGAGTTGTGCGACACACCTAACATACGCTGTGCATATCGCGGAAATAATATGGAATTTTCACTATCACGAAATTTGATCAATTGTGAACAGACATTGGATCAACAATGATAACATTGATATAGTTAGTATCAAACAAAATGATAGAGAGAGAGACAGAGAGAGACACAGAGAGAGAGTGCAGAAGAAGAGAAAAAAAACAAATTTAATTTAATGTTACCTGTGCGCTGTCCAATGTGCAAACAAAACGAAAATACATTCAATGTGTATATCACATGAACTGACTCATTGCACTTAATACCTTTTAAAAAGCATTCCCCTTGTGTAATAACGCAGCATCATTGAACTCACTCTCTGGCTGTCTGTCCGATCGTCTGTATTTCATCGTTATAACATTTAACTTACGTGTTACATTTGGTCCGATATGTCTCAGCTGCACTTTACCTTCTCATCTCTCCCTGTGATAATAACATTACCTTTTACCATAAACGAATAGATAAAAACCTGTGGGATTTGCCATTCGATTTTCAGGGGGGTCATTATAAATAAAAATAAATTAAATTCGATTCGCATCAAATTATCAGCTTTATTATCGAAATTAAGATCAATGATGTACGGGTGCAACTTTTGTTCATAGCATTTCGAATCGAATCGCCGATGTCTTCTTTTTTTTTAATCTTGTCGTTGAATAGATGCCAACGAAGAAAATAATCGATTTATCGTACTTCGACAAAAAAAAGAACCAATGATCATAATCGTTTGATTATTTTGAAATTATGCGTGCGTTTGAATGTTAGACATTTCTCAAATTCGTTTTGTGTTTTGTTTTAGCATTAAATTTATGACAGTATCTGTATTTGTGTTGTCGTATTTCTTAAACCAAAAACATTGCTATATTGTCATTTTCATTGCAGGTTTGTTACGATTGCAACAAATTTACCAAGGACTGCGACCCGGCAACGAAACATTTCAGGTGGAAACGGTTAAACGAATCGCAAACGCAACCAATGCCATTGACTTTTTGAGGACACTCGAAGAGCTGAATCGCTTTTCCAAAAAATTCGTTGTACTAGATTGTGGTACCGATATGGCCAAAGAGATTGTAGTGATGCATGTACGTGATTTATCGCTGGGAAGAAGAACCTACCATTATCTGTTTTCGGGATTGGTAAGTTCATTTTGTGTGCAAACCTTATACTTTGCGTTTCTTACGTGTTTTGCGGCAAATACTGTTATTGGTTAGTCTCCCCGTTCCGGTGATTCGTCTCGATTTCTCTCAGTTGAAGAAAGAAAGAGAGAGAAAAAAGAACGACTTTATTCTTTTGTACGATTATTATTATTACACCATCGACACGATTCACATTAGACACCATAACCTACAATATATATGTATTGATTGTATGCATGGACTATGCTATAGGTATGTCTGTGTATATCTGTGTTGGCTCTTCTTAGCATCTCAAGAAGAAAAAAAATGGACCATACATTGTGCGAAGCGAGCAATTCAAAAAAAAAAAAAAAAAAACACCCGAATGGAAAAGCTTTTGGTGAGAGATATTGCAAACGATTGAAAATAGAAGGCACATCGAACGAATATAATAAAAAGATTTCTCCCACTGATTGCCTATCCGACCAATACGTGGTACCGCTCGCACACAATATTCACGTGCCAAAAAGTATTTCGGAGAATTTTAGTTGGCATTTAACATGGTTTAGACGGTGCAAAAAGAAAACTCGGATGTCTCTTAATGCTCTACGCGTACATTTACTAAAAGCAATGGGAAGTGAATTAGAAGAGGCTGTTCGGCCAATGGGGGGAGGAAAATGAGAACAACAATATGAAATGGATAATACAAGCTATTTGACAATAATCGAATCGACGCTTTTGCCACACATTTTTTCCACTTAAATAATAAATAACAATAACAAGAAGAAGAAGAAGAAGAAGGGAAATGTAAATCGCGTATAGCCACGAAACCGTAAAACCAAATACGACATAAATGACCACTTTTCTTACAATGACTTTTATATTATGTTTGAATTCTCTCTCCCTCTTTGGATTTTTTGTAAATTTCTTCAATATCATTTTATATTGTTGTTTGAGTGCGTACCTTGTGCTAGCCGAAGAGATCGTTAATGGGTAGAGATGAGACGATTTTCCGATTGATAGGGCGTGCGTATTCATGCAAGCAAACAAGTGACAATAAAAATAACAGGAACAAGCAACAACACGACATAGCCAACTAATCAACCAAAAGCCGTCCATAGTAACTTGAAAATCGAGATAAAAAAAGAAAATAACACAAACGAATGAGAAAAAGAAGGAAATTCTACCACTGAAAGAATGAAATTTAAATTCCATTGACGCACCAAAAATGTTTCGTAGTCAATTTTCGTTGATTTTTTTTATGTTCAAAGTTCGCTTTAAACATTTCCTTCTCGCATAAATTAGGAAAATACCACCCGAAATCGATTGTTGGGTTCATCGAATTGATTGCCATGAAATGAGCTGTGAATACATTCACAAAAAGCGATTGAAATCATGCGAGTACGCGAAGAATGTCACATATTTTGATGCGAGAATGCGAAACGAAAAGAAAAATAAATTCAACTAAATCGCTGAAATCTCAGTTGCAAAGCAACACATAAATATAAAGCAATAAATTATATTCCAATCATTTGAACAATTCAATCTCGTCCGATACAAATTCAGTGTTTTGCCGCAATTGAATTTTCTTCATTTTTTCCGCATCGCTTGGAAATGAGCACATTCAATAATTCAAATGAATTTGTGATTTCGTCTGTTATTGCCACCATTTCTGTCGATTGTGAATTATTTCGAATATGCGAGCCTCGAACATTCGAACATACATTCGCAATCGAGAATACGCGCCCACTGTATGCACACCAATGCACATAATAAGCATTACCAAATAGTAATGCATTTAACAATGTCTAAATTTTGCTCCAAAATTTTTTTTCCCCTCTGCGTTCGAATTATGGTCATTCGTTAAAATACAATGAGTGCGAAAGAAAAATAGAGAAAGAACAATGAATGAGACCAGTTGCCAGAGGTATTTTATCGGCAATCATTAAATAGGCTACATTTATTTGCCATGTTTGTGGTTGTTTCGTTTTTTTTTTCGTGTGTGTGCGAGTGTGTGTTGTTTTTATTCGCGTCGATTAGCGAATTTGCGAAAGACAGAGACAGAGCAAATGAACATTCATTTTATTTTAATATGTCTCGATGTTAAATATTTATCGTTAAATGGCGACAATGTAGTTTTTGGCGCCGATAACCCTTTTCGTTTCACGCCACCATTCCAACATGCATGGAATATATGCATTACACAATTGCTATCATTGCTTGTAAACCATGCTGTCACAGTCAAGAGCCACAATTGAGAATGTACAAAGTTGATTTTAATTCGCAGAAATGATAAATTAGCATGAATTTCATTATATTATCGCGTGGGGGGCAAGCGAAATCGAAGGCCCAGTACATTCAACAACGTGATTTCAACGTGAAAATCATCACATGCTCGTAATTAATATTGAACAAACTATGTATGTAATTGCACTAATTCAACTATGTGGCAACAAAACTAAAAGGAAGCATTACCGAATTTATTGCAGAGATTTTTCCATTTTAAATGGAAAATCGCATGAATGCATCGACATCAATGTGTACTATTTCGAATCGGTGCACATGCATACACATACAAATGCGTCGCGTACAGTGCCGGTCAAAATGTGCCATCTCACTAAAACCCCGTCTGCTGCTTTCCGCTTGAACTCAATTTGTTTTGAGCGATGTTTATGCATTCAATCAATACTTGTACACAACATATAATAGAGAGTGTAAATTGACTCAATTTTATCAAAGACGAATGCCGGAACGGAAGAGGAAAGAAAAGATTTGTTGGGCGAGAGGGAGAGTCGTTCGCTCTTGTATTCGCAAAGAAATACTATATTAATATTTGATTTATGTTGTGGAATATTGCATAGTGTTACACTGTTACAAATGCTCATGTGGCCAACATACACACCCAAAGATATGCATATATTTGATATTTATAGCATATTCAACGGATGCTACATATAAAAAAGTATATTTCTCTATTTTTTTTTTGTTGACTCTTTTTTTCGCTTTTGGTTGTCTCGCACTTGTTCTCTTTTTTTTGGTGTTGTTGCTATGTGCATTTGTACTCGCCTTTTTTTCGCTTGACACAACTGAAAATAAACAGAACCACACAATATTTTTCGTTACTTTATTTTAGGTGATGGATGACCGATGGGAAAGAGAAATAACTGAATATGGTGCTATTAATATAACTGGTTTTCGTATTGTCGATACCGATCGTCGATATGTTCGTGAATTTTTGGATGGTTGGAAGCGTTTGGATCCGATTACATCGATTGGTGCTGGCAAGGAATCGATTACGGTACGTTTTAAAATGAGGGTGGAGAAGTGTACACATCCACTGACATACTGAGAATATATTGGAATATCCTGCACTTTTGGTTATTGCGTATAGTTTATCTTTTTTTTATTTTGATTTAACATTAAGTTTTACATATATTCGGCAATTCCATTTTAAATCACATGCTATCAAATAATATTTTAGTTAACTACTCGGCGATAAGTCGTACGATTGGTACATTTGTAAAAGTCAAAATTGTAATAATTTTTAAAAAATTGCTATTTTTCAAAGAATATTTGTTTCCAACTAATTTGCCTCTGTTGGAGTTTTCATTTCAAGATTAAAAAGTAAATAAATCAATATAAAATGCACGAGACCATCGGTAATTTTTATCATGACATTGGACATCAAGTGGAAATTCAAATTTCATATATATATTAGTTGGCTTTCAAAATATTACCCCGTTCACGCGCAACAAAAAAAATGCATTATGAAAAATGTTCGTTTGAAACGGGCAATTTTAAGTGGAATTGTGATAAAGTTATGCTAACAATATACGATATCAATGCATTGTAATGTAACTGGCAGCTGTGTGTTCATTGTGCACATGGTTGAGTGTTTGTATATGTGTCTGCGCCATTCAACGAAGAAGCGCGTAACGTTTGCTGTGTGCACTGTGTGTCCCAAGAGTGCATTCCATCTGATGATCTGTTTGTTCTGAAAGATTCATTTTATTTACACATACTCTGGCACTCTCCGAGGCATGCACGACGGTGATTTGATTTTACTTGACAAACGTTATACATATTTTCACTGCATTTAATTAAAATTGAGTGTATTTTCGAGTTTTGTTGAATACTGAATAGTTAGATATTTTGTCATTGATGTTTAATGCCCATTTAAAATAAAATACGATTTGTAACATAAAATTTGTTGTTCAAATGTTGTTTTTGATTTCAGGCACAAGCTGCATTAATGTATGATGCTGTTTTCGTGCTTGTCGAAGCATTCAATCGTTTGCTAAAAAAGAAACCGGACCAATTTCGTAGCTATACGATGAGACGAAGTAGCTCACAGCATTCTTACACAAATTCATCGTATGGAAATTTACTGGCAAATGGACAGAATATACGAGCATTGGACTGTAACGCTGGCAGAGGTTTGGTCAGTCCGTGGGAGCATGGCGATAAAATTTCAAGATATTTACGAAAGGTAAGATCGTTAGTGTTTTTCGAATTTTCGTTGACAAGAACAGGTAGACCGCATTTCGCATCAACATACACAAACACCCACACACATGCACCCATCGTACAATGGCCCGAATGGCCGAAAAATCGAATTATATGGCATCGCCATGCATAATGCTAAAGTACTTCAACTATTCATTATGACCTGATGCGAATGTTATTAATAATTGTTTTTTTTTTCTTCGTTGGTGTTCAACCTATGCATAACCTTCATTTGTATATGTGCATTGGCAGCAATTCGTTCACTCTGCCTCACGTCAGGATAATATTCCTTTCGGTTCAACACTCACATACCTATTAGTATATCATATCAAACAAAAAAAAAGAGAGAAAGAAAAATGAGCATGTAATCTAACGAATGAATTTTCCAGAAGGCCGTATTTTTGAAGTTACGACTTTGCCGCACTCGAGGATCGAGATAAGAAAATACAAATTATATAGAGTTTCAGTGTCGTAAGTGCGAACGAACTGCTCTATGTGTGTTTGTGTAAGTGAGTAAATGTGAATGTGAAACCGTCTACGTATTCCATTTCCATTTAATTTCTTCATAAAGAAGGAGATTATTTTGTTTTTATGTTTTTATGGGTAAATGGTCAAAATGTTTAATAAAGACGAGTCAAAGCTGAACAGGAAAAAAAAGTACCACCGAGAAAGAGTAAGAGTGGCGAGTGCTGAGCCAGTGTGCAAAAGCTTTTAAAAATAAAATTCTTTGCACAGAATTTTTATTACTCCTTTTTTTTCCTCATGCTCGCGAGCACTGCTGATGGTGAGACAAAGAAAGAAATATAAATGAAAACAAACGGAATAAAATCCAGTTAAAAATCAAGCTCAGCACAAAGTTGGCACGATAAATTTTGATTATGTATTTGGTTTTTCGCACTTCGATGTTACAATGGAAGTTTGTGGCAAAGAGTGTTCGTCAACCAACGTCTCCGACAAGTTCGGAAATTCTCATCGAGAAAAAAAAGGATCTCATAAAATACTTCTTTTCATTCGGTCGCATATTCAACTAATTCTCAAGCATGGGATTAAACAATGGGAGCTGCCATCATTTGAATTTTTTTTTTTGTTGTTGTTATGTTCTTCTCATGTGAACAAAGGACGAGAGAAGGAGAAAGAGAGAGAGAGAGAGAAAAAAAAAGTTGTGCAAGCAAATTGAATATTCCGTTCTGCCGAATTGCTGGATTCTAGTGATTCTTGAAATGAACAATATAAAATGGCGGCAAACAATTAAAAATGAAACAAATCGTCTCTTTCATTTCATTTTGCACTGGATCTCACTACTTCGTTATACCTTTGTCGTACTTTCCGTCCGTTTAATTTGTGATGCGGCCCTTGAATGGTTATAACCGTTGGATCTTGCACGAAGCGAGAGACCATAAATGGCGTCAAAACATCTTCAGTCTGGAACATTTTTTTCATTAACTAAGCTCGAAAAAAGTTTCACATAAAAAACAGAATCCACATTTTAATAGTAAAAAAAATGTCATAAACACAGTAAAAAAAAAGATTCAGTTGAATGTATACATATCCAGGCTGCACTTGATAAACCTTTTTGACTACAACAAAAACACACACACATTTCAATGAATATAATCAGACAGTGCATTTAGATGAAATAATAACGTAAACTGATAAATGGAACAAATAAAACGAATCATACACACACACAAACATACATACAAATTTCATTCGGTTGGCATTTTCATATAGGTAAAATGCAATGTACAATTTGAAAAATAAAAACGAGATTTCAAACCAAAACCTTAAAAGCTGGCATTAAGTTGAATAACATAACATTTATAGCAGTAAATATCGTTTTCATATTTGACTATTCCTTATGGCAAATAATAAATAGCATACATGATGAAGTTCGGGACGAAACCAAGTATTTCTTCCGCTCATCCAAGCGTATTTATGTATTATTTGCACATTTGTTTCATCACAACATGCAAAATTTAGATTTATACGGTTGTGTGTATGCGAACATTTGTGTATTGAATACTGTTTGTTCGCTTGTCAAAGCGCATGCAGAAAGGCAGGGCCATCACCTCATTCAATGCGAATATTTGGACGGTGTGTCGTTTTATCCTCATGTGGTCAGGAATTTATATTGCTACACACGAATTCCGAATCGTCTGACAATTTATTTATAAAAATACCGATTCAATATTCACACAAAGTAATGTATATCCATTGTGTATATGTATGTTAGAAAATCTACATATTTAACAACATTGAAAACACCACAGCAACAGAAAGCAAAAGCAACATCGAACTGCGAACCAGTTGGAAAAGAGACAGCGAACATATAAAGCGTTCGTTTCAAAAACAAAATTCTGTACATTTCTATCGAAAAACGGCGCTTTTGAACATCACATTTGTGATAGAAAAATCATCGAACGAAACAATACATACTATGGTTTTTCATTTGGGATAGGAAAAGAGCCTTATTTATTTTATGAATTTTCCATTATACCAAAGATTTCAACCATATGCATGCGGTTCGATTTTGCATACATGACTGAAATGAAAACGTATCAACTGATGCTACTCGTTCAAACTCTCTTTCTTCTCTTCCTTTCTCTTTCCCCTTCCGTGTTTATATTTTGTGTCCTTTTCGTCCTCCTGCTGTTATTCATTGTTGCTAAAATGTTGAGTTTCACAACACGAAACAAAAGCATCTTTTTTGTTTACTTCTTTTATATTGGAAAAATAAATGCCATTCGAAATTCATATAAAAAGAATGCCATTTTAACCGCTTCGAATCAATGGAAATTCCAGTTGGCATGCAACCAAATAAAAGACACAAATATTGTTAATTTCAGCTATTACAGCCATTCCGAATCGTTGACACTTATTGCATTGAATTTTCCTCTGAATGCGGCGCAATACACGACGAGCACGATGAATGAGAAGAAGAAAAAGCACATAACACATATTCTAAGTGTCAATAATGAAATGTAAACCACACATACTATGCCACACCAATGGTGTTTAACAATGAAAAACAAACCATTTGCCATCCAATACAAATCGACAAAAGAAACCAATTTATTTTCAATTTTAATTTTTCGTTCCGATAATTTTATATGAATATATCGATCAAAATGTAATTTTCTTTGTGGTCACTTCCTTTTATTATTTTATTCATTACAAATCAATTAAACGTTAAAAATAATCAGCAAATTGTATCTCAAATGTGTGTATTTATTGATTGCAGTGAATTGATGTCAGCCAACTTTAATTGGCAACAAACATTCATTTACACACAAAGACAGCAAGAGAGATAGAGAGAGAAAAGCGTGCACCACCCATTCAAGCACGAATACGTATTATAATAATAATTGAAATGACAAAACTAACATCAATAACAAAGCAATCGAATTTCGAAAACATTCAGAACAACAAATTAGATGATTACATTTGAGTTGGTCAAATAATTTGCATGAAATAATGATGTGCGGCATCAAAGAGAGATGGAGAGAGAGAGAGAGAGAGAGAGAGAGAGAGAGAGAGAGAGAGAGAG